CTTTAATTTGTTTTATACTCTCTCTTTTTTTTCTTAATTCTTGTTATAGTTGGAAAATCAAAAAATAAAATTGATTAGATTTGGAGATGTAATATATTAAAATAAATATTTTATTTTCAATTACCTGTCGAGTTTTTACCACCATTAAAAAAAAGGAAGAAAATAAAAAGACAGCAATTAATGCCAGTTCAGATCCATCCATATATATTTGTTTTTTTTTCATAAAAAAAATTAGTTTCAATTTCATTTTCCCATTTTGCTTCACCTAAACCCTAATCAATTCTTTAATCATCTTTGATTTCTAAGTTTAACAATTAATTACCCCTATAAACAACCCCCAAGATCTGATTTTATTTTTTTTGAAAAAGAGTACATTAAATTCCAGATCTTTCTTGAATTTGAAAAAAAAAATGTTTTTGTGGGATTGGTTTTATGGAGTTTTGTCATCTCTGGGTTTGTGGCAAAAGGAAGCTAAGATCTTATTCTTAGGTCTTGACAATGCTGGCAAAACCACTCTTCTTCATATGCTCAAAGATGAGGTACTATTAATCCCCTTTTATTCGATTTGACACGGAGTTTAAGAAAGAAAAAGATGTAATTTTGAAATATGTAGGTTAAATTGTTTGGGATTATATTGGGTGTGTTGTTGTTGTTATATGGTTTAAATTGTTTCTAAATGCAGAAAGGTACCAATTTGTTTTAGGGACAGACTAAAATAGGAAGTGCATCACATCAATTTAAGAGGGATGTAAGAATTATGTTATGTATTTTGATCGGGCACGAAGTTTAAGAAAAACGGTAAATCATGGGTTAAATTGTTTCTAAGTATAGAAAGTTAGCAATTTATTTTGACAGACTAAAAGAGAAAGTAGTGCATCACATCAATTTGAGAGGGACGGAGGAATTATGTTATGTTGTTTGACTGGACACAGAGTTTAAGAAAGAAAAAATGTACTTTTGAAATATGTAAAGCATGGTGGGTTGAATTATTTCTAAATGTAGAAAGTTAGCAATTTATTTTCTCCCGATTAACTTAAAAAGAAAGTGCATCACATCAATTTGAGAGAGACGGAGGAATTATGTTATGTTGCTTGATGTGCATGGAGTTTAAGAAAAAACTTTTGAAACATGTGAATCATCTTATCAATGCCTAAGTTGTTTTTAAATGTAGAAAGGTAGCATTTTTTTGGGGGACGGACTGAAAAAGAAATTTGAGATGGATTGAGTAATTATAATGAATTGTTGAGAAAACATGAATCGAGTGGAAATGAGCAAATGGATGATTAGGATTCATATTGTGTGTAGTTACTTGCTTGCTTGATTGGTTGGTTGGTGTCTAACTGAATTGATTTATCATAAAACCATCGTCTTTGATTTGATTTTTCTTTGATTGCTTTTCGTTATTTACAGAGGCTAGTTCAGCATCAGCCAACACAGTATCCTACATCTGAAGAGTTGAGTATTGGGAAGATAAAGTTCAAAGCTTTTGACTTGGGAGGTCATCAGATTGCTCGTCGGGTCTGGAAAGACTACTATGCCAAGGTATGCTTTGTGTATTAAATGTTGATAACCATTTGTTCTGTAATTTTAGTTCTGCACACAGGTAGAACTTGTCTTGCTCATTTTGTTGCATCACTGTATTCTCCGCATTGTCTTGTCTTGGTCACTGAAAAGTTTCGGGGATTGTGTTGAATCTTTCTGTCAGATTAGATATATATCAATACCTCAATTTCGTAACTTGATCATCTTTTATGCTTTAATCAAAAGAAATAATCATTTTCTTTTCTAATTCAAAAGTAAAGAAAACTCAAAATTGCCTTTAATATCAAATGTACTGGATGTTTAAGTCAGTTGCCATGTAGTTGCATCAGATCCATGTGTTCTATAGTCGAATAGTATAACGAAGGGTATATATGAACAATATTTTGAAAATAGAGGGGTAAATGTGACCCTTTTCCGTAATACTTTTGCTATTGCTCTGCCCTACTGGGCTAGATTCCAAGACACTTCCTTATCTTTTTCCTTCGTTTATATGACTTGTCTTCCTCTTCGATGACCATAATGGCTTAGTACAGCCTCTAGATTGGCTGGCCCTTGCAGCAACATGAAAACATTAATGTGCTTCATTGGTGGCACTTATCTCTGTGAGATATGTGCTTAGAAAGTATTTGTATGGAGAATTAAATTTACTGAAGGTGTAGTGGGCTATTCCTTCGTCAAATTTGTTGAAGTCGTATGTTTGAATGCAGCATTTTTTTAAGGAAAAGGATTCAGATTTTTTTTGTAATGGTAAGTATTGTTGATTTCACATTCAAATTTATACTCAAATTGACTTTTTAAAAGTCAATGCAAGTTAGAGATCCTTGAAATATTTATACACTTCTGTTTTTGGTATAATGGTGGTGCACCTTAATTATTTCAACGAGTACCTTGTTACCTATCACCTACACGGGTACCGGGTAACTCTGCCCACCAAGAGTTAGGCAGATGGGAAGAATCACTTAGCGGTTTTCTGTCTGTATGGAGATTTGCACCCTGGTCTCCAAGGTTTTCACCCTCTTCATTGAGTCATTGATCACTAGGCCACACATTTGGGTGCATGTTTTTATACCTATTACTTCTTTCTTTCTTTCTTTTTTGAAAAGGTAACTTGTATTATAAACACAGGAATACTCAGGACGTATTCCAGTAATACTTACAATCAGAAATACAAAAGTGTTGCTGTTTTCCTATGAACTCATTAAGGACTCTAACATACTAGGGATATTCTCACCTATTACTTCATTTGTCCCATCTTTTGTGACTCTTCCTTTTTAGTTTGTCGTGCAAAGCATGACACCTTTCTCTTTTTGGAAACTATTTAATTTTAGTATCCTCATTTTAGTCTCCAAGGATTTGTTGGGACACTACCACCACTCATGTAAACAAAATACATATGGAACCCTCACCACCGCTCAATTAAAAGGAAAAATTCGGTACTTTGCATATATTTGACTTACATGTTAAAAGTCATCTTTAATTTTAAAATTTCGTATCCAGTTAAACTCCATCACATAAAGTGATATGGAGGGAGTAGATGATATGGGAAGGAAATGATAAGTTAAAAAGTAATTCATTTTAGTTTGACCTAAATTTATTTTCACCATAAAAGACTCCAGTTTTTCTTCATAAATTGCTTTGTACACTTGCCAATTTTTAAAAGGAAAATCATAGCATGAGAGCAATGATTAGTTGGTTTCCCCAAGGTTGAAATTGTTATTCCCTGATTTAAGGTCTTTGTTATCCCTTTTCCCTCAAGGTTACAAGTTCGGCTTCACGACATTCTTCCATCTTTGATTTTGGTCTTGATTGCTTTATATTATACTGTCCGCCTAACTGCGCTAACACTTTTTTCGTCCTTTTTCTCTTGGGACTTGGGTGATTAGATAGCACAGCAGATCGTGAATATTCTTAGACAAGTTGTCCTTAATCTCACGAAACACCAAATTTACTCATTACTCTATTTCAAAAAATCTGCCTTAATAAACATAGAAAGGACAAATTTCCTCATGCATAATGTTTTTTCCCCTCTTTTGATAAATTATAATGTTTTAGTGCCTTCACAGTTAGAAAATTATCTTTTTCTATATTCATTTATTTTATGGTAGTGGATAAAAGTGCCCCTAAAGTGTCAGTAGGACATAGGTTGTTCTGATGGTTAGAATTTTTATTCCGGGGAAGTAAGGAGCATATGCTGAAGACCAGATGGAAGCTTAGGACTAAAAGAGTCGCAAATTACTGTACAGGGACTAAATTGCTCGTCTTATGGAAACATTACCTACTCCAGCAAAGTTTCTTTTTCCACCCCTTCCCTAGAGTTCCTCCCACTAGTTTGTTACAACGTTGCAATCTTTTCTTTTCTTTTTTAAGCTGTGCAGTGTAAGGTACTAAATAATTTCTTATTAGTGCAAACTTTGTGCCTTCTGTTTTCCTTATTTCCTTCTTTTCCGTTGACTATTGATCTGGCCAATGAGTTTCCGTAGTTTTGTGTCAAGTAGCTTGAATTGCTGTGCCACAGGTTGATGCCGTTGTGTACCTGGTTGATGCATATGACAAAGAGCGCTTTGCAGAGTCAAAAAAGGAACTTGATGCGCTTCTTTCTGATGAAGCCCTTGCTACTGTCCCCTTCCTCATTTTGGGAAACAAGATAGACATACCATATGCAGCCTCAGAAGATGAACTGCGTTATCACCTTGGCTTGACCGGTGTCACAACTGGCAAAGGTAAGGTGAATCTTGCTGATTCTACTGTTCGTCCTTTGGAGGTATTTATGTGCAGTATTGTACGGAAAATGGGGTATGGCGATGGATTTAAGTGGGTATCTCAATATATAAAGTAGGTTATGCCATAGAAGTTGAAAGAGGTGGCATCCTGGTTATGCTGTAGATCAGCATTTTTGGAAAAAGATTGGTTTCACCAGATATTTATTCATTTGTTTTCGAATTGATCAGTCCTCTATAACTATTTTGTATCCTTTGGTATCTTTGTAGTTTGATGAGAAGATACTTTTGTTTCTGTAACATTTACATGTAGCTGGAAATTTCTATCTACATATTCATGATTTAAAATCGTACCTATTATTCTTTTTTCCATATATTGTTCAAGTGTGTCCTATTTTATTTCCTATGAAAATATGACAAAAGCGAAACAATCATACAATACTTTGTTATTTTGAAAACAATGCTGAGAAGAGGGACACAATTTTTCTTTTTTCTGGCAATCGAAACACTTGATTAATTACCAAGTGAGAAAGACTGAAGTTTGATACTTTCAAAGGTTTAAAAAAGTCTTTACATTAAATTAAACCGAATCAAAAAAGGTGCTAGACTTAGTGTAATTCAACAACTAGGGTCCAGGGAGGGGTGGATGTGAAGGTAGAGGTTATTTTCGATAAACCCTCGGCTCAAAAGGTGCTAGACTTCTAGTAGATAAACTAAATACTGAATTTAATACTGTGCATGTAGTGCAAGGAGAGAATAAAATGACAAATGGATAAAACTACAAAATTTTCCTAGCTATCAGAGGTAAATACTTTTCTTCCTCATGTGTACAATCATATTGGAGCAAGTTCTTTTCTTTTTTTGGTATCCGACCCAGTGTCCAGTACCTGCATTGGGGCTAATCTGAATTCGCGCTGCGTAAGGCCCATTTAAGGAGGCAGTGCTCCCAATAGGATTTTTTTTCCATACCAAGGATTGAACCCGAGACTCTAGTTATCCCACCACAATCTTTGTCGGTATAGGGGGAGATTCAGATTCTACTGAGCCAGTGGCATAACATTTTAAACTATTCTCTTTTCTTTATAGAACTCTTGCTACAAATCCCCTAAAATTCAACAACTCAATGCTTCATATTTCACTGGAATTGGTTGATTAAATCCAGCTTGAGACAACATATTCCCAACTATCGCAATCTCTCTGCAGAACGCCCCTTTGAACACTGTCGCGTTTGTGTTACTACATAATGCAGTATTGCACACATCTGAATCAAGAGTTTCAGGTACAGATCGTTGAAGTTCTTGAATTTTCTGAACTTGTTGCTGCATTACAACTGTGCCAAAAGTTTCAGTCCTTGATTGTTGTTGTTCTTGATTTAGCTGAACTTGTTGCTGCATCAGTTGCAATGCAGCTGCAGCTTTCTTTCTCTTCTTCTCAGCTGCTTCTTCGTCCTTGATTGTCGCCATCAAACTAGCGTAGCCCCTCTGTATCAGTCTATAGAGCAGTAAAGCTGACATCTTTGCTCTATCCCTTACAGAATCTACATCTTGTTCATCTGCAAACTCACACCTTTCTATGAAACTCGTCAATTTGTCAGGCTTGTGTCTTAAAGTTAGCAACAAATGTGCTCTTTCCAGTTCTGATCTTGAACAACCCCAGTTTAAACCAATCAATGCATAGTAATCTACATTCCCCGTTTCGCCATTTGCAACCCTCTTCTTCAATTCTTGAATATTTGTAGCCAAGGAACAAAGTCTCCCTGGAATCTCCCTGTATTCCACATTTTGACGCTTCCATATTGGTCCTGGTAGTTTCCTATCCCGTAGCATTGAATTGTACAAGAGTTTTAAGTGCTCCAAATCATGAAGACTATCAGGCAAGCATCTTATGGTTTCAAATAGTGCGGCTCTAGTTCTAAGAGCATCAATACAAGACGGGTCCAATGCTAGCGTTCGATTGCAATCAGCTATTGCCTCTGCAATTCGACCAGAAGAATGATACGCTGATGCTCGATGCATATAGCATTCAGCCATAAACCCCTGAGGGGCACCACGACGACCATCCACAATTTTTGAAAAATGCCTAATAGCTTCTGAGTAAAGACCAGCATCAAGAGCTGCAAGTGCAGCAGTTTTTCGTCGTAGTAGCAGCTTGATATGACTGAGAAGTTGAGATATTGTTTCTGACTCGGTTATTGGCAAAGCTGTGCAACGATTTTTGCTTGAGATTGGAAATTTGGCAAACGAGAAGCTATCCTCAGACCAACAAATGCTCTCACGTCGAAATGCATCCGTAGCAAGGCGTTTGCCAGTTTGTAACAGAACCATTGCATCTTCCATTAGGCCCAAATGGCAACAAGCTTGTCCTAAGACCAAGTACCTGTTAAGACATGATGTAATTAAGAAATTAAACACATGTTCCCTCCAAAAGCTTCAACTTTCAAATGAGACGATCACACAACAAGAATTCATGGGTATAAAACTCATCACCACCCAAAAAAAAGCAACAAATATTTTCAAGTGTTCGACCCATGCATGTGATAGGGCGTGTTAAAACATTAATATAATCAAGTAACTCAAAGTGCACTTTCTCTAACAGCTTACCTCCATTGACCTTCTTTATTGCAATTCTTGTAAAGACTAGCCATAACCTTCTTCTTCAAATAAGATATAGAGAAGCACTTGAAGTTAGGTTCATCACCATAAGAAATAAGCCTGATTTGCTCCTTTGAGCTATCAAATGAACCAGAAGAAGAGGTAGATGATGTGTCATCACTAGGCATTTTCAGACTAGGAATATAATCTTTTAGCATATAAGCTACATCCTTAAAACACCTTAAATAAAGCAAAGATCGAGCCTTTAACTCTAGGGCTAATTCAAAACGCGGAGAAATTGCAAGTGCAGCTTCAACAAGGGCAAGAGCTGAAGAAATCTCATTTGGTTCTTGAGTGGCAATGAGAATTTTGGCATCTCTGATATATCTTTCCACAATCTGACAAAAACAAATACAGAGCATAAGTACGAGTTTAGGATTTTGAGTTTATGAGTTCCGAATTCCATCTTAAAAAATACTCTACACAGTTAGCTACCGGATTCTGCTGAATCCATTGATGAAGCTCTAGCTCCCCGCCTTGCATTACTATGTATGCAATTATCCATGAAAATGGATAAAATCAAGAATGTGTTTTTCAAACACAAAATATGAGCTAAAGTTACTGAATTCAACTGAACCCAAGGGCACAGCTCTAGCTCTAGCTCAAGCAAACACAAAATACAAAGGTTTGAGTCAAAACTACTGAATTCTGCCGAATCCATAAGCAAAGCTCTAGCTACCCTTTGCATAACTAACTATGTATCCATCAAAATGGATAAAATCAAGAATGTGTTTTTCAAGCACAAAATACAAAAGGTTTGAACTAAAGTCTATTGAACTCGCAGATAAAGCAGTAGCTCCTCCCTACATAACTAACTATGTATGCAAATGCAATCATCAAAGAAAGTGAAAAGGGTCAAATCAAGATTGTATTTTTATCATACCTTTTTGTTGCTAACCCACCAGGGCTTTTTTTCTCCACAGGCAAGAAATGGAGGAGATGCAGCCATTGATAGATCAAGAATCAAAATTTCTTGATTTTTATTTGGGTATCTCTGTTTACATTAATATTGAGGAAATGCATGAATATACAGTGCCAGCTTTAGAGAGAGAGAGACAGAGAGCTTTTGATCCTTCTGTTTCATTGCTGGCAAACCACGCCAGAATCTCTCTCTCTCTCTCTCTCTCTGTAAAGACTTATCTCCCCCTCTACACTCTACAATTATAGACTCATCTACATCTAATTAATTAGTTTTATCCGAGTTTGACTTGATACAAAATTTAAGTAATTTTCTAGTGTTAAATCAATTAATTGTCATTAGATTCGATGATGCTATAGACTTTAAAACATTTATAGATAGTGTTAATTGTTGCTAAAATTATATATATTTAGCGGTAATTAAGTTTAATTAATTGTAGCTAAAGATCATTTTTGATGCCATGTATAACGAAATGTGTTTCAATCTTGTAGTATTAAACATGTCATGTGAAAAGTTATAAGAGTTAGACAAACAAATTTGAAACTGAAAGAGTAACACAATTTTAAAAGAATGTAGCGTATACGTATATCCTCCCTCCATCCAATAATAGTTGTTCATTATACTATTTTGGGATATTCAATAATATTTGTCCATTTTATGAAATCAATGAATAATTTACACTAATAATTTACTCTTATCATCAATTATAGTGATTTCTCTATTATATTTTTTTAAGACATTTGTATTTATTGTATTCAAAGGGTAATATAATAAAATTACTCTTCTATTTATAGTTTCTTAAAAATTGTGCAAAGTTAATAGTGGACAACTATTGTTAGATTGAGGTAATATATATTAATTTAAGCTCTTTTTATAATCTAATATTAAGTTGAGAAAGTATAACTTGTTTTTAATTATATAAATTATTTCTATATTGAATTTTGCATTTATTAGCACAATTTAAACTACAAGATCCAAAGCAATATCCCTTATCTAAATCACGAGTCCTTGTAAAAAAAAACATATATATATGAGACTCCAACAAGTTGCCTCCAAACAAAATTAATGTTGTGCGTGAATTTATTTATTTCTGCTGCAACATAATTAATTTACTTATCTATCCTATCTTTTGTTTGTTTAATTTCCACCCCCACCCCCACCCCCACCCACCTTAGATCTCAATGGATAATAATTTTTGACTTCTCGTTATGTGATTAAAAGGTCATGGATTGAAGTCGTAAACATTATTTCTTACTATAATGAAAGATAATATTATACGTATATTGAATTCTATGGTAGTGTAATTTATTTATGAATTGCTCATATAAATCAGCTATGAATTTCGTTGCTAGTGTGACGTAACTTACAATTTATTTTGATAATATGTCATTAATATTTAATGTAGATAGATTATATTTCGAGACATAAATTTGAGTAAAATAGTCAAAATTTGCTTGAAGTAATATTTTTTAATAAACGTGTAACAGGAAACACGACAAATTATTTGAAACAAGAAAAATATCAAAATAACTACTATAGGGCTATCCTACTTAATTACTACTCCATCCTCTTTGCTACCAAACAATGAAGAAAAGTAGGAAAAAACAGATACTAGGTAGGCTAGATCTAAAAAAAAAATACATTTAAGAATATTGTAAGGAAGATGATGGTGGTCACCATTAATAAATGTTAAAAAACAAAAAAGATAACTTATAGTAAAATATATAATCAAAAATTAGTGCTGAGAAAGTGACAAGTGCAATGGCGTAAGGCAATAGAATCATGCTTTTTTCCTCTTTTGCTTTTGAAATAATTTAATGAATGCACATGATATATTGAGTCCACAACCATATTGGTTTGTCTTAAAGTTTCTTCAAAATAATATTTATCACTCTACTTTTTATATAAAAGTAATCTGATTATGTAAATAATTTTTATATCATTGATGTAGAGAATTCAAACTCTAAACTTTATAAGGATTGTGATGGAGTGATACTGAGTACTTACTCACTCTTAAATAGTCCTAATTAGAGATTTTAAATTTGAGTTCTTAGGTATGGATTTGGGTCACCTTTGTTAGAGAGCGTTTTACTTTCAATATAAGACTTTTCCGTGTGAATTCAAATTTAGTCGAATTGATTTAAAACACAGGATTATAGTGGTCAAATAATGTGTTCTTGATGTTAAATTGCTCCATAAATCTCATCGGAAATATTTAATGCCTCAATTACCACATCATCATACCTAAATAATTGTGACCTTGCATCCATGTGTCTAACTTTAAGGTGCTGGAACTCCAGCTCAGCCTAACAGTTAGGATATAGGATCATAAATAGAATTGTTAGGGTCATTTGGACCTACCCTATATGATTAGTTCCATTATTAATTAATTAATTATTAGTAATACATATGCTCATCAACATCACCATTAATGGATTTTTCCAAAATCATGTGTATGTTTTTTCACCCAATGTTTGTATTCGCATAAAAATCTCGATTAATTCTAATTTATGTTACGTAAGATTTGTTAAAGAAATAAATATTTTTTTATTTTTGTCGTATTTAATTTGAACTGGAAGTTTTTGGTGAAAAGAGAAGGGGGTCATTACAAATTTATGATTTGATATTTATGATTTCTGAATTGTAGAATAGTAGCTTCAAATGTTTGTATTCTAAAATTAATGTTTTTTATTTATTTAGTAAATTTTTAATGCACGATTTGAGATATATCATATTCATCTCATCATAATATTATGATGTTCAATGATATCCAAAGTAATGTCAATTCAAACATAAATTAGGAAGAATTTGGAGTAAGCTACTAATGTATTTTAAACCCAACACTATAGGATCCGTCCAAAATCATGTGTTTTCATCCAATATATATCCTTATACGTATTGAAATTCCGATTAATAATAGCTTATGTTGTGTATGAGAAATACTTCTTATTTTTTATACAACGCTCGAACTTGAAGTTTCTACTCTAGGTGTTGGAGGAGGATAAAAGCGGATTCAGAATAGAACTTTATAAATTTTTAGTTATTTCAAAATTTGTCATACAATTTGAGAAAAGTGATAACATTCTATCCTATCTGATTCATTACTAATTAAAATATTTGTACCGCTGACTTAAATCAATATATCTTATTTATCTCAACGCAATTCTCAATAACGTACGTACCTCTAAAGTCATTTCAATTCAAACAGAAATTAGGAAGATGAGTATTGATAAATGATTGATGACAACAATTGTGAAATTAGGTATATATATTGAACTAAATGTTAAAAAGGATATTAAACATCCCATGTTAATTGGTGTTGTTTACCTCTTTTATTAATAATAGTTTCTTTATTTCCCTTTTAATTTAATGACTCTCTTTTGGGTAAATAAAGATGCATTATAATTTATACATATCAAAATAGACCTATCAAACATGAAAAGTATATCAACCTCAATATTCGATTATTACACTTATAATTGAGTTCAAATTTTTGAATTATCATAAAAGTCAAAATAACTAAAATACAAATAAAACATTTTAAATAATTCATTTATATATATAAGCTATAATTATTGTATATGCACTCATCCAGACAGCTGTAACAATTATATATCCTTTTTAATATATAGTTTGTTGTATTAAATTCTTAATCAGTATCATTGCTAAAGAGAGAGAAAATAATAATAAGCCAAGGGAATCCAAGACTTGCATTGAATTATATAGAATTAAAATGACACATGATGTTGTTTGGTTTAATGAGGCAAGTCTATTATTATCTATTATTATATCTGACTTTTTAATTTATGTAACATTATTTTCTTAGCTTATAAATTCGTTTTTAAAAAAAATTAATGAATTTCTACTATTTAAATACACCTAATTGATAATTTTCCTTTTTTTCTTGATTAAATTTTTTTTATAACAATGCAAATTTTAGTATAAATATATGTAATTAGATTATAAGTTTTAAATATCTTATCGTCATATGAATGTATGATATATTTAAAAAGGTATTGACATTTTTGGGTTTGGAATCACAGATTTTCTTGTTTATTTGTTTATTCAACTTGTTCATCATGAATTTGAATTAATTAAAATAGTTAAGTTTGAATAGAGTTGTCAATATGGGCTAGCCCACCCCATCCGGGCTAACCCATACAGGCTTTGACATTTTACGGGTCAGGCCGGGCTAGCCCCATTTTTGGTGTGGGGCCAGAAAATGGTCGGCCCAGCCCACAAGTACGTGGGCTACAGGCTTGCCGGGCCAGCCCACTTTTTTTAAAATATATTTTTTTTTTTTAGAATTATTAAAAATAAATTATAAATTATAATTTAAAAATATTATCATAAATAGCGACAAAAACAATATTACATGGTGTTAATGTTACTACTTGTTAATCAGATCAAATCCACAAATAAAATTATTTTTATAATATTTATAAGGTTTTTTCAAATAAAAGTATAAATATCTAAATAGAAATATTAACCTAATTATTTTGTCACATTAAAACACAAAAAATGTGACAATATTCCAACCATAAAAAAGTTAAAAATAAACACTTTAAAAAAAATAATGAAATTTATGGCGTATCTAACACATCATGAAATCTATAGCGTATCCAACACTTCATGATCATCTTCATCAAGCATATCTAAATCAGTTTGTGGCAAGGTTGTCTTAACATCTTCATTTTCATCTGCAATTTATATGTGGTTTCAATTAGTTAAATATTAAATAGATTTTGAGTTTGGACTCTCTTTAATTTTAAATTTTAATATTATATTTATATTTTTTTTAATTATTTTTATTTGGCCCACGGGCCGGCCCTACCTATATTTCTCAAGCCCAACAAATTAGCAGGCTTATTCAGGCCGGGCTAAAAAGCCCTTTTCTTAAATGGGCTTCAAAAATCTTAGCCCAGCCCTATTAAATCCCGGGTTAGGCCAGGCCGGCCCAACGGGCCTAGCCCATATTGACGGCTCTAAGTTTGAATAGTAAATACCTAAAAGAAAATAAATTTATATTTTATTGATCGTGATCCAATGGACCATTCATAAAAAAAAAAAAAAAAAATGGTCAATGTTTTTTCACATGCAAGCCGTAATTAGGTAAAGAGGATCCAATAACTTTGACCGCAAGAAACGGTAGCACTAGTCAAATATCTTCATGCATGTGACAATATATTCCATCAATAGGAAACAATTAACGGCATATTCATATCGAAAATATTTTTGAAAAAAAATTAAAAAAGAATAAGTGAGTATATTATGTAAACAAAAAAATATATTTATGTTTAATCAATATTCCAAACTTATGTTGATACTAACATTTTATTGAATGAGATAGTAGAGAGAGAAACGGAAAAGAAAAGAAGTAGTTTCGAAAGGAAACTTTATTCCTCACCTCGATGCGATACTTCGATAGTTTTGAATTATATTATCTTAAGGAGCAGAGGCGTATCTAGAGGGGGTGCCGTGGGTTCACGTGAACCCATGCTCCCTTCTCTAAATCATATATAGTAGTGTTATATTTTTTTTAAAATAATTAAATATAGATGTGTGAACCCATGTTCAAAGTATCATATAAAAATGCGATGATGATTGGGTGTACTTCTCTAAGTGAGATATAGAAATTTAATCTTATATCTATCTTGTTTCTTTGAGTAACACTTTTTCAAGTGGTTATCAGTTACACTTTTGTCGTTTCAACTAATTTTTCTTTTGTTTTTTCCTTTATACTTTCAAAATTTTCAAGTGTGTTACATTGAGAATTCCTATAAAATTTAGCCTTGTAAATTTTTTATATAATTAAATCAAATGTGTATATTAAATTTAAAACTAGTAGTATTATATATTTTGGATCTATAATTTTTAAACTTTAATGATTCATATTACAAACTAAAAGTCAAATCGATCAAATTTATATTAGAGATACATTTTTTCGTAATCGTGCACCCATCTAGCCGAGATCCTGGATACGCCTCTGTAATAAGGAGTCGATTAATAAGGTGTATATAAGAATATCATTGATCATAAGGTGTATTAGTAATATATATTGTGATTAGTAATATTGAATTATTTCTTATCGACTATTTAGTTTATTATATTAAATGAATAGGATATACCCGAATAGAAATAATACCCTATATTGCTAATATTATGATTCAAATATATATAAAAGTAACATAAATATTATATATATATATATATTATTTTCTCATGAGTTGTCAAAATTTCATAATTCTATGGTACATCAAGAAAAAAAGGTCACGTGAAACCAATAAAAGAATAGTGATTATATGGTATCTATCTATCTGGAATATTAGTGAATGACCACTAAGGAAAGGATTAACGAATCTTTATGATTGGCCAAATTATTAAAGAGAAAAAATAAAAGTAGTGCACATTGAGTGAGATGGATTCAGAATTTAATTATATTATTAGATTATTATTGAAAATGTTGATTTTCAATAGTCTAATTCGTCGATAAGTGGCTTAAAGGAAAATTTTCATATTTATAATGGCGCATTAAAAAATTGCATTTTTTGAGATGTTCATCCATGAATTTTCATGTATTAATAACTTTTGTATTGCTAATACTATGAGTTGGTATTATTAGTTATACACAAAATTGTCTTTAAATACATCGAAACACCAAATTAAACAGTGAATAAATAACAATCTGAGCATTATAAGTATTATATTTTATTCAATACTATTTTTATGCACCTTATCCAACTATCCCTAAAAATATAGTAAATTAACTCAGCAATCTCTAGGCATTTTTTAATGCAACTCTTAACACTTGTTCTGTCAAGAAAATAACATAATACAACTATCTATAACGGGTTAATTTAAAGTATGATAATATTGATTAATAGATCATTAAATGGGGGGATCATATGACATAGGCCTATGGGATCACATTTAATGTAAGTAATATCATACTCTTGAGGATATATTTATTTATTTTAGAAAGAAAAACTAGTAAGTAAAAGTATTAATATTATCCTTTTCGATCCCAATAAGAAAAAGGTACATAGTAGTAATAATGATTTTGGAACTCCCAAGTTGATGAGTTAAAAGAGTAAATGAATCCTTATTGGTTGACTTATATTCCTTCGGATTTCAAATATTAATCGTTGAATTTGTTTCAAAATATTTCACGTTTCAAGAATTTAAGAAATATTTGGTACCTCTTTTTTCCTTGAATTCACACTTACTGCTTCAATTAGTAGCGTTAATCAAGAACGGAGCTAGATAGGAATAGGGGTTCAATTGTTTGAATTGAGTCCCATAATATAAGAAATATTGTAGTGTAAAGGCAAAGGGGATTCAAAAATTGTTTTAAATCACACATTCAAAGTCTTAGTATTAATTTAGTGAGACATTTAGAAGAAAGATAAGGGTGTTAGTGGCTGTTTGGCCATGAATAATTTTAACATTTTTCTAGAGTTGAATCCAAGAAATCATGTTTGGGGTGCATACTATTCAAAGTAATGGAAGTTTTCACAATGTGAAAAATCACAGGTGTCATATAGAGTTTGCTCAAATACAACAGTTACAGACGGAAGGCATGAAGGGGTGAAATAAAAGTTTCATCTAAACTAGGCAATGGTGATCCAGGGCTCAGCCTGAATTAGATATTGGGGAAAACTTCAAGAGATGATTTTACACAACATTGAAAATCAACTTCTTCAAGAAAAGCAGCAAGATGCTGCAATGTGAATAATTATTTTTGTACACTTTTACTAATCTAACTTGAGTGAAGCTATTATACAGACCCTAGCCAACAGACAGATTATCACTTCTTCTTCTTCTTTGAATTAGAGGTCCCTTTTTTGGACTTCCTTTTGGTACTTGTATTACTTATGTTCTTGCTACACTCTGGGCAAAACCAGTCTTCCTCGGGTACACATTCAAGGGGAGGATCACAGCAATCTACATGCATGCCAATGCCACATCCAAGAGAGCCACTTTCGTCACCACAGATCAGCATTACTTCCCCCCTGTCAGGCGACCCACACACCTGGCATGCTATATCATTACTACTGTCATCTGATGGCTCCATCTCCTCAACAATCTCTTCCAAACGATTGATATGTTTTTTCAGTGATCTTTCTGCCCAGGAATGAGTGTTGTATTGCACATAATTGTTGAGGGTATAACCAGGTTTGCACACATAAGTCACCAAGTAATCAGGCAACACACAAGGTATCTCATGCCTTAAGAATTCTTGAACCCACTTGTCACAGCGTGGCATGACCTCACTAACAATGGCAAAGTCAACACCTGACTCAAGGAATCGACTATAAGGAGGAGAAGTTGCTAATATAATGCCATCCCCTGCCTTGACTGCACACTTCAATGTATCCTGATTCAACAAAAGAGAGCACATTAAAACCTGTTAGAGATACACACAAAGTGCAATCTGGATAAATGTATCAGTCTACAAATTGCTTGCATGTGGTGTGGAAAAAATAACTTCCCATAGAAAATAATTCCACCGCAAAATGTTTCATCTTAGGAAATCACTTTCTAGATCATTTTCCAATTGTGATTGGGGCTAAAAGTACATGACATATGATGACTGCACAAGATGTTGGATTTAATATTAAAATAGTGTTCTAGTGATAATTTTTTAGTACTAAAGAAAGACAATCTACATGTTAAGTAATATGAGTAAAGAGTCATGCTTTGTAAGAATAATGAAGAAATTACGTGTTATAAAGAAAATTTACTTGCACCCAAAAGTAAGTCATTTGCCCCTTTGGTGGAATATGCTATGTTGGGAGAAATTATTTTTCCATAATACAAGGAAACCAACAACTAGAAAATGATTTCATTGAAGTTCCAGAATAATTCTTCGTCATAACAAAACACACCATAAAAAGAGTTAATGGAAGAGAAAAATTCTTGCAAAGAGGCAGGCAGCATAGGAACTCAATCTTCAAGAAACATATACAGCAAACAACAAATTACCATACCAATGGTGGTACAATGCAGTCTCCATAAATGATTATCCTCATTCCATATAATGCGCCATGTCCAGTCCTCTCCCTCAGAAGTCGCCACTTTCTTGGGGCCTCTAAGTTGATTGCTAAGTCTTCAGTCAATCCCTTTTTGTGCCATTCATATGGCTCCTCATCTAATAATTTTCCAGCCTCAACACAAGCAGTTAAATAATCTGTCTTCAAAATCCACCTGTAAAAACAATAGATGATATGTTTTGCTTGTGAGAATGGACATAACTTTACGGTTGTGTCATTTTTTTTTACACTGGTAACTTCTTTAGGGCTGTGTAATTAGTCAAACCTTCCAGAGGATGCAGCAGCAAAAAACTTCTCTGTTCTTCGTACTGGAGCAGGAACAATGAAATGGGTTGCCTGATATGACCAATGGTGAGAATCTCTGCACACTTTCCCTTTCAATCGCTTGATAACCTGCTGAAACTCCTTCCTTTGTAGCCGATGTCCACTAACTATAAACCACCTAGGCTCACTTTGTACTTCTGTAACCTTCAACGAACGAGACTTTTTATCAGAAGGAGAACTTCTGTCAGCTTCATGTTCATTATCACCCGCATTCTGGAGTCCAATAACAGACATATTCTCCTTCTCCACATCCATGGAGCTCTTCAATTGATTCTCAGTCGAAATTACTGTGGCTTTTCCAGTTTCAGATGGAAACCCTTTTCCTTTCTTTGCTTCTACCTTGTTTCTATCAGTTCTGCACTTCTTCCTTTCTGTGCCTTCTACAGAAGCAGCAGCTCTTTTAGTAGCTAGATTAGTTTTCTTGCTATTCTTCTTCAGACATTTTGGACCTTCGGGAACTTTCTCCTCTGAAGCTTTCCCCACAGAAGTTGACTTACTTAACTTGGTCTCCTTGCCAGACGTCTTTTGAGTTTCAAATTCATTGCTTTCAGTACTAAGAGCGCCTTCTACAGAAGCAGCAGCTCTTTTAGTAGCTAGATTAGTTTTCTTGCTATTCTTCTTCAGACATTTTGGACCTTCGGGAACTTTCTCCTCTGAAGCTTTCCCCACAGAAGTTGACTGACTTAACTTGGTCTCCTTGCCAGAAGAAGTCTTTTGAGTTTCAAATTCATTGCTTTCAGTACTAAGAGCGCCTTCTACAGAAGCAGCAGCTCTTTTAGTAGCTAGATTAGTTTTCTTGCTATTCTTCTTCAGACATTTTGGACCTTCGGGAACTTTCTCCTCTGAAGCTTTCCCCACAGAAGTTGACTTACTTAACTTGGTCTCCTTGCCAGACGTCTTTTGAGTTTCAAATTCATTGCTTTCAGTACTAAGAGCGCCTTCTACAGAAGCAGCAGCTCTTTTAGTAGCTAGATTAGTTTTCTTGCTATTCTTCTTCAGACATTTTGGACCTTCGGGAACTTTCTCCTCTGAAGCTTTCCCCACAGAAGTTGACTTACTTAACTTGGTCTCCTTGCCAGAAGTCTTTTGAGTTTCAAATTCATTGCTTTCAGTACTAAGAGCGCCTTCTACAGAAGCAGCAGCTCTTTTAGTAGCTAGATTAGTTTTCTTGCTATTCTTCTTCAGACATTTTGGACCTTCGGGAACTTTCTCCTCTGAAGCTTTCCCCACAGAAGTTGACTGACTTAACTTGGTCTCCTTGCCAGAAGAAGTCTTTTGAGTTTCAAATTCATTGCTTTCAGTACTAAGAGCGCCTTCTACAGAAGCAGCAGCTCTTTTAGTAGCTAGATTAGTTTTCTTGCTATTCTTCTTCAGACATTTTGGACCTTCGGGAACTTTCTCCTCTGAAGCTTTCCCCACAGAAGTTGACTGACTTAACTTGGTCTCCTTGCCAGAAGAAGTCTTTTGAGTTTCAAATTCATTGCTTTCAGTACTAAGACTCTTTGCAATATCCTTCCTGTCATTCTTATGTACCATCTTGTTTGCATTTATTTTCTTCTCCGCTGATTGAAGCCCTGAATGTTGTGCTTCAGTACCAGTAGACTTCTCTCTTAGAACATTTAATTCTTCATCTTCTTGGTCCTCTGGAGCCTCAGTATCATCATTTAGGGATTCATTTGTTTTGGCAGATTCTTTTTCAGAATTCAAAAAATTATTTCTCTCGATCTCCTTGCTCGAATCAGCATTATCTGCAGGCAGAACCTCACCCTTTGTAGAGCTTAAGATATTTTGGTGCTCTGTCTCCTCTCTCCCTCCGCTACTGGACGCAGCTGAATCATTCGTCAGAACAGTCTTGTTAATGAGTAAAGAACCTTTCTGATTTCTGCCATCCCCTTTACCGAGACTTTGTCTAGATCCGAGTGTCTTCTTGGAAAGTGATCTTTTCTTCAATGTCTTAGACCCTGACATGGAATCATCTCCAGCTTTATTGAACTCAGACAGCACATTAGACTTCAGGGTATCTCTTCTTTCATTAACTGGAGATGGGACATCATGCCGTTCATCCAGTGGCCCACTAACATCAACAGTAGCATGACTAGTCCCTTTCGACCCCATCATCATACAAGTGCTGCTTTGAGGTGCATCCTCATCATGCCCTTGCCCAGTGCTTAGTGTCGCAGGATTGGAAATGGTTGAATCATAATGCTGCATGGTTTCCAAAGTTACACCCTTGTCCAAGTGAGGGGCAGGGTTCGTAGACAATAGATGACTGCCTCCGTGGCTTAGACTATGTAACTTTGACGAATTTATTAACTCTTCAGAACGATTTGCCGTCAAATAACCATCTGGTATGCTTTCTGGATTATTACCAGTCCTTGGTGACTTGAAGCTACTGTCTGAAATCCCCATATTCCTTTTCTCAGGCAGTCTACTGCTTTGACCCTTCCCAGAAAACGACAAATTCTTTGGAGTTTTTACACCTAACTCACTTTTTTCTAGTCCTCTCTGAGAGGACAGGTTAAAGCAATCATACCCTATACCTGCTTCAGTAGCAGCAGGACTTCCTGAATAACTCTTCATATGTTCAGAGGTCATTGGAGAACTGAATTTCCTTGGGAATTCTCTGGACGAACAAGAATGAGGAGACTTCCTGGCACTATTTGAAACAGAAACCAAATCACTTCCATTTTGTTGCATGCTAGATGGTGGCTCTTCTTTTGTTCGACAGAAGTTGGAATTAAGCATTTCATCATGCCTATTGGGAGATTCTTCAAAGGCTGGAACCTGGTCAGATTTTGACTGCTTTGAAGCAGATAATGACAGCTCTTTTGTGTTCCCAAGACCTGACAAGCCTCTAAATATGTTTAAGTCTGAAATGTTTGTAGAGGCTTCCTGCTTCACAAGGAATTGATTAGGACTTTTTGGATATTCAGGACCCATGATAGCTATTGTTTCTGCAGACCTGTTTGCAGCAATGCCCTCATTTTCATCTTCAGAATCTTTGGCTTCAGCTTCCATCATGTCCAACTCATACCCACTAAGGCCAGAAAAAGAATACATGAGCACACTATTATTTGCTCTTAATTTATTTGACAAGAAAGCCCCATTGAGGGGTAAAGTATAAACATATTATGCCTGAGCTAAACGAAATTAGCTCTTACTTAATAGCAAGTGAGTAAAATCACTTTATTGCTTTTTACTTTAAAAATTGTTGTCTACAGCATGCTTTGATTTTGAGGTTGGACTTTTGTTTAGCACAGAAGTCAGAAGCTACCACAACTCTAAATAAAATAAAATGAGCGAATTAGGCATTAAATTGACAGATCCAAAAAGGGCTGAGCAGGTGCTTAGAAACCTCTAGCGAGGTCTAATTTCATATAACTTAAGCACAAAGAAGTATGCATTTGCGAAATTCACAGATAAGACAACATGAAGTATAAAGTTCTGCACATCTTTTGTTTCTCGACTGGATCACTTGAAAATGTTTCTCATTTGACAATTTCACTACACCCTTTAACACTTTCAGCTTCTAATTAAACAGGCCTCCATAATATCTCAATGTTCAACTTCATATGTTTCAGATTCTGCAATATAAAGGCAACCTAGTAGGGGTATTATAACTATTCAGTACCAAGCAAAACAAAATACAGCAGAAACAATGAAGCTACTTCACATTAAAAGGCAGGAAATGGCAATGACGCACCTCTTAGCATACTCTGCTTCTGAAAGGATTTCCCAAGACTTCAAACTGCATAAGAAATCATGAAATGAAACTTTGCATTTTAGCAGGTTAAGAATAGAAATATCTTAAACTGAGAAAATAAAGCTCGGGCATACCAATCCTCCAACCACTGATGATTAACAAGCTTAATCGTCTTCATTTTCTTGGCAAGTTCATATTTCTCCCCTATCAAATGTAATGACCTCAGTTAGCATTGATACACAGTTGTAAATACATACCACAACAGACATGGTAAAGAGTGAAAATCAAATGGAAATTGGGGTAGCTTTCTTCCTTATCTTTGTTCGATGAGAAAAGAGAATTTAAGACATAAGTAGTATGACAGACTGATTTATCAAAGGTCATGGAAATTGACAGGCTGCTTAACAAAAAAATATGTGAGTGAGGCTCATTCATTAAGCCTCAATGCCCTGAACATATGACACATCACATAGTAAATCATCAAAGAAAAGAAAGAGAATCTAATGAAAAATTAGCTCACACTACTGTAGCACAGTCCTCTTTTTCATAATACTCGCTTCATCCTATATCATGAGATGGTGTTTAACTTGATAGGAAATCTAATGTGTAATTTAACTTATTTATTATATTAGCAAAGGAGGAAAACAAAAGTAGTGGTAGAAAAGTTATATGATAGAGAAATATCAATGAATTTAAATTTTGAAAGTTGTAGAAAAATGGATAGGTATCAATGATTTTGGGAGGTCCCGAAAAGGGAAAGTGTCACATAAATTGACACAGACAGAATATTTTAATTTCCTTGTCATTATTCTCTCAAATTGTTGAATAGGTAGTAGTTTGCGAATGTAGTTCAGATGAGGATGCTCACATGGACGTGTGGGCATACTAGGACAGATATGATTAGGAATGAAGTAATACCTGATAAGATGGGAATGACTTATGTGGCAGACAAGATGAAGGAAGGAGGCAGGGAAGGTTCGGGCATGTGAAGAGGTGTGTGGATGCGCTAGCAAGGAACTGTGAGGGGCTGGCTATAGAAGGAGTTAGGAGAGGTAAAGGTGGGCCGGAGAAGAAATGAAGGGAGGTGATTAGACAAGACATGAAACAATTTCAGTTTACCAAGGACATGACCATAGGAGGTATGCAGGTCGAGGAATAGAGTAGAAGATTAGTAAGTAGTTGAGTAGTGTTGCACTTTCGGTGGGATAGGAAAGGGGCTAGCCGACTCTAAACTTGCCCATATTAGTAATATTATATAGTATTCACATAACTTATTATTCATGATGTGTTTTACTATCTTGTTAATTTGCACAGTATAGTGCTATTTTGTTGTCATATTATTTTCTCCTTACATCCATGCTTCAAAAAAAAAGTTCTCTTCCTTTATTTTCTCAGTTTTCCTTTTCCTCTTCTCTTTTGAGTTGAGGCCTGAGGGTCTCTCTGCCCCACAAAGGCAGGGGTATGATCTGCGTACATCCTACTCAGACCCCACTTGTGGTATTACACTGGTATGTTATTGTTGAAGTAATAGTTTCACGTTTATAATGAATCACTATTGTTCTAAAATCACAGCATATTGTTTCAAAGTTGTATATTAGTATTACTTTAATGACTTCCTTTTTTTCTTCTTTAAATGCTTATAAGGTAACAGCAATACTCATTTTCGCAACTGCAGACAATATTCCTAGATTACATGCTATGGTACCCTGGCCTTCAGTTTGCTTTGAACTACCCATGTCAGATACACATATTCGATATTTCTCCCCAGGTCAAGCCTTCTACATAATATAATTTAAAGGTATATTCAATTATAAATTAAGGCAGGAAAGAATATGGGAGGGAAAAAATTAGCCAGCAGCAACACATCATAACGAATCATCAACATAAAGGACATTTGTGCAAAAACACCTGAAACTCCCATTCACCCCCTCTAGGATTAAGCATTTAATAAAGCAAAACAAGAAATAAGGAGAGATGTAGTACAACCAGCAATAGCAACTGGTGGAAAGGGGATAGTTACCCTCAAATTTGTAGCATATGAGATGAGTGACTTTGTTTGCCACCAACGGCTTTGAAAAGTTTGCACCCATCAGTCCCACCATTGTCTAGAAAGAAAAAACCAAACATGTGACAAGCAACTGTTAGATTCTCCTCATCAGAAAATATTTAACTTCTCTTAAAAGTAAAAGAATTGATGAACGACAAACTGCATTTTACAAACCATAATATCATCTCGATCTTGCCGTTGATACCCAGTTAAGCAGACTATCAGTGATTTAGCACCTGGAATTCCATTCAAATTTCTTGGAGGTCTGTACATGACCTGTAAGAGAAGTGGTGAATCTATTGAGTTTTGATTAAAGGGAAAAATCAATTATGCTTACAGGCCTATGACAAGTTGACATAGAATTCTTAAGGGAGCAAGGGAACAGATAGAAAACAACAGATAGATTCACATGACCACCAAAAACCCAAAATCATGGCCCTTCAAAATTTCTATAGAATTCCCTAAGCTCAATATGAGATATAAAAGAAATACTGGCTCCTTAACTTACTGCATTATTGACTGTCTAATAGCAATATTGCAGAGAAAAAGCCTTTAAAACTGAATAGCCACTGATAAAATGGACTCATAAACACATAATATTAAAGATCCTTTCATGCACCAAAGTGGTATTATAAATTAATGCAAATACTTCCGAAGAGATATGTTCTATCCACTATATCATAAAATTACATGTCAATAAAGACATTCTTTGTAGACATTACTGTTTAAGCAACCACAGCAGGAAGAAGGACCAATCAACTAAGCATAATTGTGAGTCAGCAGACTGTATTTTCCAACAGATAAAAGACAGAATTTTTCAGAGGAACTCACAGAATGGTGATCGACAGGCATTCCTAAATCAAAACTGTGTGCAACCCACAAGCTGGTAACAACTATTTTTCCAACCCGTCGAGCAGAAACACATATGGGGTCATCCTGTTTCCAGAAACACTATGTTACATCCTAGTTATAATAGTGAGGAATGACGTTTGAGTTGCGTACAAAAAATGGGATAAGAAATCAAGCAGCAAGAAATGCAAAAGAAAATCGCCCTGAAAACCAAATAAGGACAATTATGTTCACCACACTCACGTAGATAATACTATCAACAATAAGATGGGTGCAATCTGGTCCATATTTGCCTGCATCAACTCCACCACCTTCCACGAGCTTGGACCGAATCTAGAAAAGGAAAAAGGTACAAAATTTTAAAGTAGAACAATGACAACAACCATCAAAAAGAGAAAAATTCCCACACACATAAAAACAATTACAACTACACCATAACAGTTGAACATGGAAATGGGAAAAAAAAATCATAACTACTCCATTTAAAGAACATAACACTTGAATTTGAAACAAATAAATCAAATCAACTGCCTTTCAATCCCAAGCTAGTTTGCATCAAAAACATGAAATCTAAATATCCATTTCACAATTCAAAACATTGTATCCTCATCTTTTCTCTCGGCTTGAGACCAACTCTACTTTCCTCAGCTCACATGGCCATAATTAACTTGAAAAAATGCAATTAAATCAATCGCCTCTGCCTCAAACTCAATCTAGTTAGAGTCTGACTGTACAAATACTTTGTATCCATTTTGCTATTGATCATTTCTACCAACAATGCTTAGGGAAACTCGCATATGACAAAATTATAACTTGAAAAAATACAATTTTTTTGAGGAAGAAAATTAAACATGGGTTACCTGTTCCTTCCTAAGGGGGTCGAATCCAATTAGAACAAAACGAACATCAACGAAAATCTTGGAGCTGTCTTCGTATAACATATCTTCAGTCATTTCTTGAACAATTTTTTCATGGAAGAAGCAAGTAAATTAACACGAAAAAAACTTATATGAACCCTAGAAATTTGTAGAATTTTACAAAGCTTCCCGAGCAAGGAGTAGACAAATTATTGGAGGGATTTTGTGTTTTTTAATTTTTTATTTTGGCGCACTTATTGTTGTGCCTCAAATGAGTTGGGCTTTGCCCCCTCTTTATAAAAAAAAAAAAATACAGGCCAAAGCCCATCTTCATTTTCCTTTTTTTACCATACTTCACCATAAAATTGCACGTTTTGTCCTTTAATAGGTTAGTTTTTAAATGTGCACCCTTATTTTTAGGTGATTATATTTTTTGCCGTTAAATTTTGAATAATAAATAAGTGGTCGAAAATACTTGTGAGACCAAAATAACAAAGAATTTTTGCTCAACATAAGTTTATGTTTTTGTATCATAATATAACGCTAGTTATGCCACTTAATTCCTATAGAACTTATACCAAGTAAGGCATAAGTTCAAATTGGAAATCCCACAAGTTATGTAAGATCATTGGACCATGAAGTTACACGTTTTGCCCTTCAAATGAGTTAGTCTTTGATTTTTGTCCTTCAAATGGATTGGACCCCGAGGGTGATGTACCGTAACCAGTCTCATTCTTGCTTAAACACCAAATTAGTCATTGTAAGCACATCAAGAATAGGAGTATGTGTGGTACCTAGAGATATAGTTGCTGTTGATTGATTTTTAGACCTTTGTTGGCTTAATATTTGGAGTGTTGTTTTCATATATGAAGAAACAATACAAGTTTAACACAACAAGTAGATAAATGAAATGGTGAAACGACTAATACTTCAATTAGTCAATAAGTTAAGCTAAACCTGCAGTCCCCACCCCAGTTGCAGAAAATGACCACAGTACATACATTTTTCAAAGAGAAATAAACATTAATTTATTTTCATCTACTTAACGTACAACTTACAATACGATACGATGAGCTTTAGTATTATATGAGAAATCATACTAAAATAAATACATCTCCATACGAAATACGGTATTGTAACGGTATTATATCTTAAACTTGAAAGTATGCCTATGGGCGACTATTTACATTAATGCTGAGCCCAATTACTCTCAATCCCTTCGTTTGATGAATCGTTGAAAAGCATAACAAGTCTCAGCAATTGAAAGGAATGGCAACCCGGTGCACTAAGCTTTCACTATGCAAGGGATCTGGAAAAAGGCCAGACTATAAGGATCTATTTGTACGCAGTCTTACCCTGCATTTCCGCCAAGAGGTTGTTCCCACAGCTCGAACCTATAACCTCCTTGTCACATGGCAACAACTTTATCGGTTACATCAAGGTTCCCCAATCGAACAACCTGTAAATGCATAGAGCGGCAATTAACATCCCAAACAGACAAGCCCATTTGTGCAAGTGAAAAGTAGATCTCCCATTTCTCTCCACTTGGTACGAATGAAGTGCAAAAACAGGGAGTAGTGACAAGTTATTTAGAGTATCAAACTGATGCAAGACCTACATGTATACTTTTCCAAAAGGCATAATACATAGACATACACTCAAATTTGGTCTCCGCTATCAAGTAAACACTCCAACTTTGAGTATGCACATCTAGACACCTCAACTTGTCTCCATTGTGTCAGTTGAACACTCCAGCTTACAAAATGATCATCTAGACACCTCCAAAAGTCATGTCAGCCTTGGGTCTCCACAAGACACAGTGAGAACGAGTTGGGAGTGCTTAGTTCCTAGCTCAAACCAAGTTGAAGTATCTAGATGTACACTCTCAAAGTTGGAGTGTTTATTTGCCAGCTAATGCCAAATTTGAGTCTCCTCAGCAACTCAAAAGGAAAAGGCAAGTATTCAAATCCAGCAAACCACAAACCATTAACAGCTCCCATCAAACAACATTAACAAACAGAATAACAAAGTCCCGTTTTTTATATCATTAACTCCAGGAACTTTTAGCACACGATTGCATCAAGAAGCCACAAATATTACACGCTTTCCCCAATTAATATGTGATGAAGACAACATATTAACACTATGCTATCCAAATGACTTTTCACAAATTGGGATGGAGGGAGCAGCTAAAAATCAGCCATCAGATAGAACCTGAATTTTGATTTAACAGATCAGGGGATCATTGAAAAAGTATTATATAAGCACAGGATCATTTTGCAGCAAAAAATTGGCTAAGACAGCTGATGCTACCACCTAGTGTAAGTGCAACAAATATCATCTTGAATGTCTGACCGACATTTTGCTCCTTTTTCTCATGATAATTCAGAGGGATAGCTTTACCATTGCAGGCTGTTGTTCAATAAGGGAATGATGAAAAATTGTCAAGTCAGGATCATCCTTGTGCTTGTCCCAAGCGGCTTTGAACTGCGAGCCCTTGGATCTTGAAAATGAGGGGAAAATATTAAGAAGTTGAAGAACTCAATATTTAGAGAGAAACTACAACAAAACAAAAAAAGAACATATCACATGAAGGAAGAGAAAACAGAGGTAATAGAGCATGATATTTACTGTTGGATCAAAATTATAGTCTGAAGAACAAGTTGTCTGATTTCTTCACGTGCAATTTTCAGCGCTGCTTCCTTGAATAGACTAACAAGTTCATCCACCAACCTGCATCACACCGACAGATACAATTTAAAGAAGTGAGACAAGAGCATATAGGAAGGTTCTAGTTTAACGCTAGGGATGTTAATCCATCATCAGTTAAGATGATTTAACTGTTGAAAAAAGGGGTCCTCAGTTTAGATGCAAAACTGGAATTCGGGAATGAAAAAATACACTATTGGATTTATTTACAACTTTTAGCGTACTCCATTCTTCATATTAACAGCAGATATAAGTAAAATTCAGGGTGACTCCTAATATTCCTTCGTAAATTACCTTTCAATGTATGGAGAATTCCTTATCCATGTCAACTTTACAATTGTCTTGATCCGTTCAAGAACCTGAAATAAAAATAAAGTATCAAATATGCTGGCTAGCAGTGATCTTCAAGCACAACATCTTGTATAAGAAAAAATTTAAATGCAAAAGAAGCTTAACTCTTATATATTTAAACAAGAAGTCTATTGATGCAACTAAATTAGAGTACTTAATCAGGCTACAGAAACTGAAACTAGAGGAGAAAGGAATTCAGCAAAATTGTGGTTTATTCATAAAAATGTAGCAAGGCTGACCAGCTCAAAAGAATTCCATCACCTCTTACCAGTAGAACAGTTCTGTCATCATCTGCATGCATCCACCGGAAGAACAGAGGGAAAAGTCGCCTGAAATGAGATAGCAGTATAAGACCAAGACCATTGAACAGTGGCTCAATATGTTGTAGCCATGCAACACGTCGCTCCTTGTTTCTTGGTTGCCTTTCCAGGTGACTCAACATCTCATTCAACAATTTTTCATACCTGTGTCACAATATTTGTGATAGGTAAATACATACTTGAAGCATAACATATTGGAAATGCTAATGTCGGAGGACAGGTGACATGTTAGCAGGGGCGGACCTAGAGTCTGCCAAGGGGTTCACCCGAACCTCCTTGGTAAAAAATTATGTTGTATATTTAAGGTATTTTAAGAATTTTTATGTTTATATATTGATTTTGAACCTCTTGAATATAAGATTAGAGGTTGGCTTAATGGTTGAGAGGTTCAAACCTCAAATCTTAAGCACTACTCTTTTTCTTTTCAAACCCCCTTAATGGAAATCCTAGATCCGCCACTGCATGTTAGTACACAAAGGTACAGATACCTACTTTAATGTATATGCGAAAGACAACTAAATAGGGATTTGCTGCATCACAAGCCTCTAAACAAAGAAGAAATTTTATTCAGATATCAGTTATCTAAAAAGAACAGCAATTATGATGCCAAAACAACAACTTGAAAATCTGGCTTCCAAAATAATTATTAAAAAAAAGTTGTAAATTTGACAATGATAGACTGTTCCCTAGAGTTAACTTCAATGAGTAACACAGAGGTAACCCTATCCCCTCCCCCACCCACCCCAAAAAAAAAAAGTTGAACTTTCACTTAATACTTGTGCAAGCCAAAACATTGAGAGTATCCAACTGTTTATTGGGTGCACAAAAATTTTATAGGATAGCTCTTTCTGCATTACCATCCAGACATCAATCTTTTGAAGGATTATGTTAGGGATGCGTTGGAAGTCATTAATTTAAGTATTTAATTATATTTTTAGTTGCTTTATTTATTATTCTAGAATAAGGTTTAGTTTCAGAGTTTCATAAGGATTAGGTTAAGTCATAGTTATTAGTTTGGAATAGGATTTAGGTCTCCTACTTTTATAAGAATTAGACTTCCTATTGATGTAATAAGACTCTTATTTAAAGGGGCTTTTGATGAATAAAACAGTAAGTCATAATTCAGCAAAAAGCAGGAGATTAGAGTTCTCTCTTCCCTTGAACTCTAAGGTTTCAGTCTCCCTTTGAAGAGCTAAAGAGATCAGTGTTCTCTTTTATGAATTCTAAGGTTTCAGCCTCCCTTTAACGAGCTGATTTATATATCGCCCTGTGAATCGATCCTTCTTTAAGAATCATAACAATTAGAGAAGGATCAATTCACAGGGCGATATATAAATCAGCTCGTTAAAGGGAGGCTGAAACCTTAGAATTCATTAAAAGAGAACTCCGATCTCTTCAGCTCTTCAAAGGGAGACTGAAACCTTAGAGTTCAAGGGAAGAGAGAACTCTAATCTACTGCTTTTTGCTGAATTATGACTTACTGTTTTATTCATCAAAAGCCCCTTTAAATAGGAGTCTTATTACATCAATAGGAAGTCTAATTCTTATGAAAGTAGGAGACCTAAATCCTATTCCAAACTAATAACTATAACTTAACCTAATCCTTATGAAACTAAACCTTATTCTAGAATAATAAATAAAGCAACTAAAAATATAATTAAATACTTAAATTAATGACTTCCAACGCATCCCTAACGGATTACTGTTAAAAATTATGCCATTTCCCCAATAAATTTATGAGTTGAATACCATTTTAAATCATGCGTACATGTTGGGAAAATTTATCCAAGATTCAATATATAACATATAGTGATATAGAAGACACTCTACCATATGCTTCGAGGATTACTTTTCTGGGTGAAGGTCACCATAAGTACAGACATTTGAACCACACGCTCCCATATCTCATCATCGGAAGCAATATTTTGGCAGCAAGCATCAAGAATTACATCTTCATACCAACCAATCTCAGCCGCATTGACATTTTTCGCCAGATATATTAAGCTAATCATGCCCTGTCCCTGAAGTAAGAGACAACATTTAGTCAACAACCTAATGAAAGCAAAAATATTAATATTAATTATGAGATGCAAATGTGTAGCAGACAAGCACCACTTGCTTGTAACAATTTGAAATACCATTTTAAGCTTGAAAGCAAAAATATTAATCTTAATTATGAGATGCAAATGATGGATTACATCATGCTCCAAACAACCAAGCCAGAAAGGTACTTCCCAAAAAATAGAAGAAGAAGAAAAATGACTAAAAAGGAAAGACAAACTGAGAGAGGTGCTATCAACATTATTACAATCAGAAGTCTCTAATAGAGTATCCGCGGACAAGCTTTAGAAAAGAAACTGAAACGTGATCTTTGATGTTCTTTTTGTTGTCATCAGTTGCTAAGAGCTCAGAAATGAGCCAAATAGTAGAAGCACATACAAGTTTAAGCACTAGCTAGCTAATACTTGATTTAAAGAGTCTGTCCCTTCTAACAATTACAATGTATTTTGACCACAATATATCTCAAGGGAAACACAGTGATTTAGGAAAAGAGAAATCTCCAATTAGAATATCTAATCATCTAACTCTCTTTCACAGTATTAACGGATCACTGCATGAATCAACAGTTTTACACTATTTAGAGAGTTTTAACTATTTTGAAGTTATATAGGGCTATCAGCATAGTTTGAAGCACTGATCAACAAGTACGTGAGATATCTGATTGAAACAGGAACAAATTTCTAAGACCAGCAATCATACAAAGACAAATGCACCTTTACTTCAGATGACCAGTGATCAAGAGCTGTTAGGGCACATGGAATTACCAAAGAGCACACTTTTCCAAGGTGAGGATAATCCACCTACAAATGATAAATATTGAAGGTTATGCTTCATTTCATCTCAATAGAATTCAAACCACCAACTGAAGAAAATAATCATACAAATAAATCATCAAGTACCAATTAAGGATATACATACCTGAGAAATGAACCATCTAAACTGATAAGCAGCAATAATGGCGTATGCTACAGGAACACTAGCGCTTGCAGCTGATATCTCATGACCATCAATTGATTTATCAATGGCACTCTCTTTAATCGTGTCTTTTAGCAAAGGCAAGAGTTGAGGGATTAAGTGAATGGCCAAGATTTTATCATTTGGGAGAGACTTAAAATCAAGATCCAGCTCGCCAAATTTGATCAAGTCATGATTCCCAGCAGCCATGGTAGCATAAGCTTTAGATAGGTCTTTGAAGGCAGAGGCAGCAGCAAGAGATAGCAAATTGGGAACCCAAAAGAGTTGATTGTAGGTGGATTCGGAGGCAGACGCCAATGCAGCACAGCATAAGCTAAAATCCCTTATTTCGAGTTGGGAGTCGGAAAGAAGAGACAGTAGCATGGATTTGATAGAGACACTGGAACCCTCTGGAGGAGTATAAGGTGCCTTGGAGAGTGATTCCCTTATTGGCCTTGATAATCTATTACATACAGTTTTTAAACAAATTATTACTCACACCCAGTACGTAGTACATATAAAACAAGCAGAAAGAATGGTCTTACAGAAGCAGCTCCTCATTGAGAGACTTCAACATCCTTCCCTTCTCACTGCTAATTGCTATGGTTTCCAAACCAGACAACCTGTCCATTTTTTACTTACATAAATTTACAAGCTGTTTGTCCAACCAATTTTCTTACTACCTTGAATCAAGATCTTAAGACAAAGAACAAGAGACAAGGGATTGAAACATCATTGGATGTTCAATCCTTTGTCAAACTTAAATATTAGTTGTCTCTTCTTTACATGACTCATCTTAAAAGCCAATTAACCTTAAACAAATCACAAATCATCCTGACACGCAAAAAGGATCACATGAAGAGGACGAAAAGCTAAAACTCATATAACTCAGTCAAGAACTCAAATCATTTGGATTCAAACAAAGCAAACACACTAATATATATCTGAATTTAAATGGAGAAATGCAGTAAAGGAAAGGGGACATGAGTAATTGAATGTAAATAGAATTATACAGTGTTATCAAAACCAGAAAAGCTCTAAGCTTCTTTGAGGCTTTAAGCGCAAACAAAACGTGGGATTTAATGAAAAATGCACAAAGGGAGAAAAAAATACAAACATATATATATATGTTTAGTCCCAGATTAATAATAATTATAAGCATGAATATAATATATATGAACAAAGAAATTGAAAAAAAAATCCTATAAAGGGAAATATCAATTGTACAGTGTCCTCATTAGCAAGGAAAACTACGTCTTACAATCTTGATGATGACACAAAAGTGCACATTAAGCAACGCGAAGTGCTCAACAGAACCCCACTCCAGGGTTTAAGTGTGCCTTTGACAACACTGATTATAAACACTCTCATTTTCCGTAAAAAAGTCTCAGGCCCAAATGACTAATTTAGCTTTCTATTAAGTAACTGAATTTTTTTATGGCAAAGTTCTGCATTCAATTCATATTTCCTCAAGATTAAATTCAACCAATTCACTGATTTAGCCTATATCGAAATTCACCCACAGTAGCATAAGAATGAATCACCAACTTAAATTAAGCAAATGATGAAGAATGAATCAATAAATTAGAACAAAACAAAGTTTAGAAAGAGACTTACAATGCTAGAAGGGATCGCCATCACTCGAAGTTCGCAAAACGCAAGAAAAAAGGGTAGGGGATTGTGTTTGGGTTTTGATACATCTTACACATAAATAAAAATTTAATTATTATATCTTTAATTAATTTCAAAGTCCTAAATATTAAGTAGGATAATAACTAAATGACAATTATTTGAGGAAAATAGTAAATGACAAGTTTATCTTTTGTAAAGCTTTTTAATGAAGAGTCAAAAGTTCAATTAACATTGTGTGGGTCAGCTTACGGGAAGGAACGACTATCGTCAATGTGGCTGGAGCCGCTAGATCCCACAGCACCACAGCAGCGATCTTCAAACTAATAAACCAACCTTTCACTTCTCATATGGGCAATCATCCACATGAGGACCAGAAGACGGCATTCTAAGGCTATAAAAAGTCCTTATCCAAGAAATGAACTATCTTGCTTAACATAGCTATTTGAAGAAAACTCATTTTTAAGCTCGACTATTTCCACAGGATAGCTACCACCTCTAAACAAAACAGCAACAATACCTTATAACTCTATCCACCAAGGCGAGCACATAACTACATATGGAAAACAATCACCAACTGTTTCTATTTCAACTGAAATTTGATCTTGAAACCTCATGGTTCTCACCGACCTCATCAACCACTGGGCCACCACTAGGTGTTTTTCTCATGCCTCAAATACTCGCACACAGTCACATAAAAGGATTACAGAATGTAAGACACCTAGTTTAATACTCATCATCATCATCATGCAATTCATAAGAAAGTATTGAAAGAAACAGATTTCCTAGCTTATTGAATTTAACAACAGACCATAAAATACTGGAAATAACGAGGAATTTTACCTCTTGTTGAGCAGCGTAAACTGGCGCCGGGACGAATTGAGTCGAGAATCTACGTGCGCTTCACCGATGAATGGACTATTCCGTTTTGGCCGCCGGACAACTCCGACGAGAAAAAAAATAAAAAGAAACAAAATTAGATTTGGGAGAAAAATTGTTGGGCCTCAAAGTGAAACATACTATTGGGCCTCAAAATGAAACATATTGTTGGGCCTTGATGATACAGTTTTCATATGGGCCAAAGCCCAAATCCATTCTTTACCACAGTTGGACTCCTAGCAGTGTATTAATAACATTTAATTACACGGTCCGTCTTTCAAATGAGTTGGTCTTTAATTTTTGTCCTTAGCAATCGAATTTATACCAAGTGAGTCACAAGTTCTTTAATGGAGCAAGGTATAACATGTGATTTTTAATACTCGTTTTTGGGGGTCGCCAAATAACTGATAGTCATTGTATATATTTTTTTATGAATTCATTAGCTTATGAAAATAAATTAGGTATATATCGACTGAGGTTGAAATTTCTCGTCTGAAGAACATGCAAAATTGTCTTAAATCTCTCGCACAATGTTTAAATTTGTTTTGCCAAAAAAGATATTTATTTTTCAAATTTCCAAACACCCAAATCTATTTCAAATAAGCTCAAATTTAATTCATAAATATCATATCACAGAGGAACAAACTTCAACCATCAACCTATCAAAACAATAACAAATCTAACAAAATTATTTAGCACCCTTTTATATTTTGGAAATTTCTTCTCTAGAAAATTGTTTTTTTTTTCTATGAAAGTTGAAAAAACAAGCTTTATAAGTGATATTTCATTCATGTTTGTTCTCGCGTACACTACCCCACCCCACATAGCTCCGACTCCACCACCCTCACACTCTCCGAGTATCATAGCTCATTCCTATATTAATTATCTAGATTATATATATTTTTACAATAAAAAATTTTATTTGCTTGCTTGCAACACACCAAAATATTAATAAGTGAATCATTTAATTTTTGGAAAAGATATTTTTTTCACAAAATATATTTTCCTTAATAACTAACACAACGTCGCTGTAATATGCAAAAAGGTATAGACATTGATCGGTTCAAATGAAGGTATTAAATTGGAAAATGACTTTATTGATGATGAATTAATAATGAAAAAGATGTACTTAGTGTGTTTGGTATGAATTAAAAAATAAATAGTTATGTATTAAGTAGGAAGTATCGAAAATGTACTTAGTATATGTTTGGTATGTTATTTTAGGAAGGGTATTTATTTTGGAGATTACTAAAAATACTAAGAATAAATAGAGTAGTATATATTTAGTCAAATCAAATGTGATTATAAGGTGTAAAATCTTAGTAGTTAGTTAGTGATATCAACTTATGTATTTTGTTGACTTTAGATTATATATACAAGGATTTTAGTGTTTACCTAACGATTAACACTAGCTAGCGACCACATAATTACACTTGTTCTTAATATAATTAAGATGTGATTAACTCACCAAAAATATTAGTGAAAATAATTAATAAGGAACAAAAAGGTCCGCTGGCACGTACAAATTCATGTGCGCGTGCCTGGTTCCAATTTGACATATGATAATATAAATATAACGCAAAATAATTCAACTACTGCACCATAATCCATATTGATATGTATTTTTTACTAACTTCAACATGTATCAATATTAGGGGTGTGCGAAAATTGAATCGACCAGTAAATTAAATTGAAAAAATGTTATTTGATTATCATTATTGGATTGTTGGGTTAACGGGTATTTAATGATTTTATAAACAATATTTATTGGGTTATTGGTTCGGTATCGATTTTTAGTATTGGGTTATTAAATAAATCAATAACCCATTAAGGCGATAGCAATTTGCTATATCTTTAGCCTCCATAAATATTAAATATTAATAATTTAACATAACTAGACACTATATCAGTACTCTACACTACTGTCCACACACTGCACACTTCATAGTACTTCTACTTCGCATAAGAAATTTCATATTATGCTTTGGTTGTAACATGTAATTGTAGCCATCATGTTTTTATTGATGCAATTGCTCATTAGATTTCTAGTTTAACTATATCAAAACATTTACAGTTGATTTGCTTGTATCACTGTTTCGCGCCAAATTGTTAAAGAAGCGAAAAGTCATATATTTATTTTATGAGCATTTTCTTATTGGATAAATCAAAAGTCGAATCATTAATAACCAAAAACCGATAAATCGAAAACTGATACAGAATATCTTATTTGTTTGTTATTGGTTTATTAGCATATCTAAAAACCAAAAACCGATAAATTAAACCGATAATATATAAAACTGAATCGAACTGACCCATACACATCCCTAGTCAATATCATGGGACCAAATTATAATTGTACTACAACTAGACCCTGGGTGTTTGCTACCTCCCCCACACCACACCCTACCTATGGGCAGATCTACATCAAGTATAAGTGGAGGAGTTACGGAAATTTAATAACTTAAGCAGGTCATTTGCCCAAGATATTTTACAAAGAAGCATTTAAATCCAATGGAAGATAATGAATTAGTGTGTATTTTTTTTTACATATAAAAGAGAAGGAACATATGTTAGAACACATTAGAAGGGTACATATTTCGAAGATTACAAAAAATATTAAGGACAAAATAGTAAAGGTCTAGTCAAATAAAAAATGCTTATGATGAGGTGTAAAATCATAAGGTGGGCGATGATTATAATATTTTTTTTTTTTATCGATTTTAACTTGTAAATACTTTTGACGTTTACCAAATACGCAGCTAGACACCACAAATTCTTATAAGCTTGTTAAACCAGGTTATAACCTTAGCCAAACTCATTCTATGACTATCCTAATAATCACAGGATTTTGTTTATGAATGTATGTTGATTATAATTCTTTTAGTATCTATATATGAAGTTCTTTGTAAAAAGAATATATGAGTAACATTCCAAGCTAAATAAAGAACCATCAATTTTACATTAATAGCGTAAATTCTTCCTAAGTTAAATAAGATTTTCAGAACAATGAAAAGTCTTAAAAAAATAAAGTCGTTTCATCTTTTATTTTCTTAAATATCTTAAGTTTAACCTTTAATGGAGTAATTTATTTAGACATTTATTGACATCTTAAAATCACATATAGAAAATTTCACTAAATTAATACTCTGTAAATTAATTATTTATGTAAGATAATATTTTTCATCCATTTCTAACTTGGAACAATGAAAAAAATCACTCATTTCGATGAGATAATATATTTTCATATGATTCTGTTATTTTAAATTAATATAAGTCTAAAATAATTAATAAGTTCGACTTCAATTCAGAAATAAATACTATTTCAAAATAGTTTCACATTTTTAAGTCATATTTTTGTTGTTAATTCATCACTTAAAATACTTTGATAATGCTATTTCTTCCTGATTTTTACTGCTATCAGAAAAATTAAAACAAAAGGGAATCAATTTAATATTTATTCTATAGAAAAGGTTGTATATACATGAGAAATAATCTTACCTTAAACAATATATATTCACTCCTCTAATAATAATAATAATAGCTCATCAAACCAACATGAATTGTGGTGCAGTGGTGGGACTGTTTCACCCTTAACCGGAGGTCTCGGGTTCGAGCCCTGAGTATGAAGAAAATCTTGTTGGGAGCACCACTTCCGAATGGGCCTGCTGAGCGCAATCCGAATTTAATCGGAGCTCCAATGTGGGATCCGAACATCAAATGGGAAACAAAATAAAGTAGCTCATCAACCTGTACATTACATAGATTTTATATGTTAAAAAGATCAAAAATGCAATTACACAAGTGAATAAATATATTTAGAGTCATCAAATTATTATGTTAATAATATGAAAATTAGATAACCTATAAATTCCTTTATAAAATCTCCATTTATATCATCACAAACAGCCTGCCCTTATCATCTGCAAAAATAATACATAATAATATATTTTTTATTCCTTTCTTGGTTTTTCTTTCTTTTAACTAAAAATATATATAGATATCTAACTTAAATATATATAAAGCTCAATATAGACAAAATGATATTAGTCTCCATTTCTATCAATGTAAGAAATAACATTCTATAACAATAATGTTTAGTGTTCTCTGGCTACACTATTCATAAAGCTATCAATATATCATCTTATAATAAATAAAAATAGAGGAGAAAGAAGAAGAAATAGTTACTCCTCTCAACATGTGATGATTTGATTCTACAAGAAGAGAATTTAATTTGAACAGTTTCAAAATTATAAACTCACTAAGGTATCAAATGACCCATAATTGCTCATTCATAATTGATGATTGTAGGGTACTTACTCCCACTACTAAGTTGCCCCTTCCTAGGAGGATTGGACAGTACTCATAGTGCCAAACAAATTACTCCGTCTATTCATCTTTTCTTGTTTACTATACTATTTTGAGATGTTTAATAAAACTTGTTCAGTTTAGAAATTTAATGAATAATATATCATATTGTGTTTGTTTTACTCTAACTATTAAATATTATTCATATTTCAATGTTTAGATGTCTTATATTTAATAAGAGTGATTTGGTAAAATGATTGCCCCTATCATTTACTACTTTTTAATTCATGTATCAAGTCAATAGTAAACAATTACTATTGAATAGAGAGAGTATTAAATAAATTTCAAGATATAACCTCCAACCATTGAGAGTTGATATTGATATTCAAGAAGTTGTCCAGCTAGTAATATGAGAAGAGACTTATCAATATTAGGTACAAATACCCTTCGTTAAAAATATGAGAAAAGACTGATCAATATTGGGTACATATACCCTTCATTAAAAATATGAGAAAAGACCGATCAATATTACGTACATATACCCCTCGTTAAAAATATGAGAAAAGACTGATCAATATTACGTACATATACACATCGTAAAATTATGAGAAAAGATTGATCAATATTAGATATAAATACCTCTCATTAAAAATATAAGAAAAGACTAATCAATATTTTTTGGGACACACCACATGCTTCTGCATATATTTTGTTGGGCAAATGGGAAAATATATCTCTTAATTTTGCTATTTAGAGCACATATACCTCTTGTAAAAAAGTGGTGCATATATATCCTTATCGTTTAA